CCTCCCTCCTCCTGCTCTTGATCCCGTATGGTGGGTGGCGCTGCCTCCGCCCTGGGCAGTCTCCGGCCACAGGCGCCGGGTGCATCAACAACCTCGCCAACAACAGGCAACAACGGCAGCCAAGCCAGCCCCTCCTCCACCTCCACCTCAATCCTCCCTCCTTTGTCTTCGATGGATTCATCGGAAGCGGCAGCGGCGCCAAGCACGGCGTCACGACTGCAGCAACCCTCGTATCCGAATCCGGCCGAGGGCTACTCTCCCGCGACAACCGATTCACCAAGCCTGTCGCCCTCCGATGAGGACGGAGAGGATGGTGATGGCGACGGCGACGAAGACGCCGATGCGCAGGCAGAAGGGGACCGCAATGCCAACGGCAGCGGTGGTACACAGGCTGCCAAAGGGACCTCGCACTTGCCCGCCGTCTCCCGCCCTGGCTATGCACAGCAGAGCCAAAGCCGTGCTGCTGGTACTAGTGCCGGCGGTGCTGGCGGCGGCAATGCAGCTGATGCCAAGAAACCCCGTGCCTGTGAAGCCTGCCGCGGCCTCAAGGTCCGCTGTGATATGGATCCGAACGCTCCGCCCGAGACACCGTGTCGCCGGTGCGCGAAGGCGGGTCGCCAGTGCATCGTAACGCAACCGACACGCCGACGACAAAAGAAGACAGACAGCCGCGTTGCCGAGCTGGAGAAGAAGATTGACGCGTTGACCGCCAGTCTGCAGATGACAAGGCAGACAGGTCCTGGGCCGGCCGGGAGCGGCACCTCTGGTCCTGGCCGTGACGATGGCGGCAACAGCGGCAACGGCCGGATGTCGATCAGCGCCAGCGGTGGCAACGGCATCCTGCGCGAATGGCCACCGCACCTGGACCCTCCACAACTACCGCCAGTCGGCCCACGAAGCACGTCGACGACATCGATCGGAGGTGTCAGCGGCCGCGACCTGCCACCTATACATGGGCTGTCAGGGCCGGCACCACCCCACAGCCCCTATTCGACGAGCACAGTGGGACGGAGCCCGTTCTCCAATGGACCACCTCCCATGGTTATGGCCGGGCAGAAGCGCAAGTTCTCCGAGATCCGCGAGGCGACTGGTGTTGTTGGTGCCGGGGGCAATGGCCCGGGTTCGCGGGGTGGCTCGGGCTCTCGAGCAGGATCAACCGCCAGCGATGAGTCGCCGTCGATGCGTGAGAATCCCTACCAGAGCTACCACACCCACCACAGCCTCGGCCACAACCCGCCGCACGGCCACGCATCCCAGCATGCGCGGCCATCCCAACGGCATAACGTGCAAGAACCACGGCACCCGCCGCCACAGCCGCAGGCCTCGCCAGCATATGGCATGGCACGCAGCCCGGCTGGTGGCGTGGGCGGCACATCCCGGTTTGGCACCGAGTACGCGGACATCATCGACCGCGGCCTGCTGACGATGGAAAAGGCGGTGGAGCTGTTCCAGCGGTATACCGATCAGATGACACGTCATATGCCAGCCGTTGTATTTCCGCCCGGCACGACCGCCGCCGACATTCGCAAGACGAAGCCCGTCCTGTTCCTGTCCATCATGGCCGCGTCGACAACCGAGATGTCGGACATCCAGCGCGCCATTGTCAAGGAGCTGATGCAGATCTTTGCCGAGAAGGTTTTCGTCGTGGGCGAGAAGAGCCTGGAACTCGTACAGGCGCTGCAGGTGGCCGTCATCTGGTACTGGCCCCCTGAACACTTTGAAGAGCTCAAGTTCTACCAGCTGGTCCACACTGCTGCCGTCATGGCCATCGAAATTGGCCTTGGCAAGCGGCGACAGGGTAACGGGCCAGGCGGTGCTGGTGGCGGGCGTGGCGCGGGGGGCGCCGTTGTGGGCGGCCCTGGCTCGGGGTTCGCCAGCTCGAGCATACTCCGCGGCGGCTTTCGTGCCGCTCCAGGTGCACGTATTGGCCCTCCTTTTGGTGGCTGGCGCGACAATCCGTTCAAAAAGTACCCGCTGCCCGACCCGTGCAGCATCGAAGGCCGGCGGACGTGGCTGGCGTGCTACTTTATGACGTCCAACACGGCCATGGCTCTGCACCGACCAAACCTGGTTCGCTGGACCTCGTTTATGACCGAGTGCGTCGAAGTGCTCGAGTCGTCGCCCGACGCCGCCCCGTCGGACAAGTACCTGTGCCACCTCGTCTGGACACACCGCATGGCCGAAGAGGTAGGACAGCAGTTTTCCATGGACGACCCGGCCACCGTGATCAATATTGCGGATCCACGAACACAGTACGCCTTGCGTGGCTTTGAGCGCGAGCTGGAGCGGTACAAATCGACCATCCCGCGCAACCTGCTACAACGTACGTCGAGCGAATACACTGCGCTCAATATTCTTTGTGGTCTGTCTGTAATGCCCAATGCTGACGTTTGACTCTAGCCTCCCTGCGACTGAGTTTCGAGGTGCTGAGCCTCTACATGCATGAAATTGCACTTCAGACCGAGAACGGCAACGACGACTTCAAGACGCCGTACACGGCCGAGTCGACGAAAGAGGCGCTCATTGGCGATGCGACGCTGACACCTGCGCACATCCGTGCGCTGACGGCATGTCTCCTTGCTATCGACGGTATCTTTGACGCATTTCTTGGCATGGACATCCAGTCCCTGCGGTGCATCCCCATCTTCAATTTTGTGCGCGTGGCCTACGCCACCGTGGTCATGATCAAGCTCTATCTCTTTGCATCGTCCCCCAACTCGGAGCTCGGCAAGGTGATCAACAAGGAGCACATGAAGGTCGAGCAGCACCTCAATGCTCTGCTTGACAAGTTCCGCGCGACAGCCGCCGGCAACCGGTCGCGGCCAGCGGGCAAGTTTATGATTGTTCTGGCCATGATCCGGTCGTGGTTCCTCAAGCAGCAGGCCCACAATCCCTTCGAGGCTCGTGAAGGCGGCGCCGGCCAGCAGGAGAACGGCGAGTCCTCGAGCAGCCAAGGGGCGGCGGACCAGGAGCAGTCTCAACCGCCGCAGCAGCCGCAGCCGCAGCCGCAGCAAGACCGTGTTGCTTCACCCGCTGCGGCCGGGACGCCAGGCGGTTCTGCGTCGCAATCCTATGTGCCCTCGTCGGCGTTCTTGTCGACCATTAATAATAACACGAACAGCAGCACTGGCACCTCCAACGGTAACCACCCTCGAGCAGCCTCCACATCATCGGCAACAGCCACGCCTTCCCCGTCAGTGACGTCGGGCACCACCCCCAATGCGAACAACATCGGTATCAACAACAACAGCAGCAGCAGCAGCCAGGTCCAGCAACAACCGCAACCGCAGACCCAGCACCAGATGCAGGCCCCATCGGGCATCTACTCTTCGGCGAACACGCCACTCCAGCTACTTTCCGAGATTGCCGCCAACGACTACGCCGCCAATGCAGCGACAACAGCAGCTGCGTCAGGCATGCCGCAGCACCAGCAGCAACAGCAAGGGGTTGGCCCCGCTGCCGCCGTCAACACCATCCCGCCCTGGCCACCATTCTATAGCAGTCTCAGCAATGGCGCCCACAACGGCAATGCCGCTACCACTGGCGCCGGCACTGGCAACAGCGGCCAGACGTCCGATCCACAGCAGCAGCAACAAGTGTCCTCACTCATGCCGCCACCGCCGTCCACGGCCGACTACATGGCCCAGTACCCGGACCTCAATCTGGGTGACAACTTCGAGTACGCCGTGGACCTGACGCTCGTGGGCCTGTCCGACGGCGCCGACAACATGAACTTGAGTGATGGCCTCAACTACATTCTGGCCGACCCGTGGTTTGGTGGTGGCGAAGCCTTTCAATTTTAGTCCCGGATAAGCCGAATGTTGGCTTCTGTATACGCCTTTTTATGACACTATTTGCTGGGTTTTTGATTTTATTTGTTTTGACACAATACCCTGGCGTTTATTGTATTATTGGCATGTTTACGACTTTAGCGGACAACTTGGGTCGATATCTAATGACAGGCTTCACAACTCTACATCGAACGGTCCAGTGATATAATGTTGTCACATTTTTATTCGTTGAAGAAAATAAAGTGCCCAAAGGTCAACAAAAGTTATTAATAAGGACAAGCCTCACTTGGTCCATTTGTTATCATACAATGAGCCTTCGGTGCATAAACCCTAGTCTTCCATCCTGTACATGGTTCCAATTTAGTGCCGATACCGTCCATTCCATCTCTTGAAACAAGGGAAATCAAATGACATAAATGGCAAGAAGAAAATATCGAAAAACGGAGCACCTCCGTTTTCGGTCAGCTATTTTTGGCATTTTCTTTCCAGCTCGAACGCCACAGCGGCGGAGAACCCAGGAAAACAATACATAACAATTTGCGTCAAAGTTGAATAAACGGCGGAGAAGTCGTGCCCCAGAAGAAATGGAATGAAGGTTTGAAACAAGCCAAAAAAAAGAAATAAAATGTCAACAAGAAGGCACCTCGAGACATACCGCCATAAGAAACAATGAAGAATACGAAAACATGGTTTCCTGCCAGGGCTGCTTTGCCCAGGACCAAATAAAGGGTTCATTTAAAATGAGACAGGTTGCAGAAGTGAAGAGCAGAGAAACAAAAGACAAAATGAAAAAAAAAAAAACAATAACGCCGTGCAACGAAATAAAAATCATCCTATGTGGTCCACACATTTCTCGTTTCGTTTAATGCGTTGCATCCCATGTCCTCGTCGCCGGGCCAGCTACACAACTCTTAAATGTTCCCCGAGGAGCGTGTAAGCTTGACTAAACGCCTGGTGAGTATAAACACCCAAAAAATCCGTTCTCGCATAACTTGAAATTTGGGTTGAGCTCGAAAGTTCGACAGGTAAAATGAAACAAAGTCGAAAACAGTAGGAGTAAAAAGCCAGGCGCCATATAATATATCCCGCGCTGCTGCTCAGTCGGCGTAGGATTTTTCGTTCGGTTGTGATGCAGCTGGTCGTAATAAAAAAACAAAAACAGGTAAAAAGAGTCGTGAAAGAGAGGGATAGAGATCGCTGCTCCCTTGTCTAATCCATATAGAAGTCACCCTTGAGGATTCTCTCTTGGAAGTGATCTGGCTTCGGCCGAGCCTGGCGGGGCTGCTGCGGAGCAGGACGCTGTGCGGGTGCCGGTGTGGGTATGTCCGATACAGACTTGGCACGGTCGTGGCGCAGGCCGACACCGCCGCCGCTGCCGACGCCTCCGCTGATACCACCCGGAAGGCCAGAGCTGCCACCTGGGGCATAGCTCGACATAGAGCCAAAGCCGCTTCCGCGCGGCGGGGAATTGCCCATTCCCGAGGCAAAGGAGAACGAGGGCCGGGCGCCGGACGCCACACTGCTCTCGGCACGAGACCTAAGCTGCTCAGGCCAGTTGTATCCTTGGTCTGCACGAGCAGCGGGGAAAAACATTTTGTCAGAAGCAGTTCTAGGACTGAGTACTGGTGCATGGGAATTTGCTTGGCTCGCCGCCGTATAGGAAAAAGAAGCCCCTCGGGGTGCATTCCGTTGTGTTGGTATCGTGATGGGAGGACGGGGTGAGACATAAGAAGAGGACAATGAAGGGGAGCGAGGTGAGGAAGAACCAGGCGAGAGCGAACCAGAGGCAGAGGACTGCTGCTGCTGCTGCTGCTGTGATTGCCTCCCTCCACCAGATGCAACAGTAGTAGCGGTGCTGGAAAAGTTGGAGCGCAGCCTACCGTTAGAGGAGGCGCCGCCAGGACTGGTACCACCGGGGCCACGGAGGTTACGCATGGCCTGGGCACCAAAACTCATGCGGCGTGCAAAGGGAGAATTGGGCGAGTTGCGCGACCCGCTACCCGGAGGCGCGTCGTCGTCTTCAATGGCGTTCTCGTCAAAGGCCGTGTCCGATGTCGACGAGTTGGTGGACATGCTTGCGCGGCGCGCTGCAAACGATGACGCACCAATCCCGCCGTTGGGGCCCGCACTGACGCTACCGCTGCCTGCTGTAGCGCCGGATAGGCCAAGGGCGGCCGTTGTGGACACAGAGAGGCGCCGCCGCCGTGTCTGGTCAAGGGCAGCCGAGCCAACGGGGCCCGGGAAGGCAGGGGTGCCATTGTTGGCGTTCGAGGTCGAGTTGCTGCGAAAGATGCTGGAGAGGGCCGCCGAAGTAACGGAGCTACGTCGGTTACGAGACGTGTTGTCGGTCGAGTTTGGTGGGTAGCTGCTGTCGTTATTTGAGGCCATTGTGAAAGGAAAAGCAGGGCAGAAAGAGGCGCCCGATATAAACAGCGTCGAGGGAAAACCGGGAATATAAGAAACGAAAGATCGAGATGGAGATGTATCGGAAACTGAGGGCTGAAATGTCGTAGATGGTTGAGTGACAGGGGTGCTGTGACGGGTTCGAGAGTAAACGAAAGCGAAGAGGGCGTGGCTCGTGGGCTATCTTGGTCGGGAGTGGCGCAAAAGAGTAGTTCGAGGCGGGAGCTGGCTATGCACGGGAATGATGTATGATGCTGCTTGGGTTTCGAAACCCTTGAGATGGTGGCCTGCAGAACGAGTCTGCAGCCGGATCGAAATGGGAGCTTTCTTTGCCCAGGCTGCGAGACAGAGACACCGGAAGCTGAGGGATGAATGGTCTGAAAGTGGTATGTGTTCTTATCTGTGTTTTGTGACAGGAGGAGAGGAGAAGCGATCAGGGTGTGACAGAAATAAGGCAAGGGATGGCAGAGGGCGGCGACGGAGGAGGATATATAACAGGCCAGGTTCCTGGGTCAGGCCAGTGAACAGCCAGTACTTACAGGGTGCCAGCAAGCAAACGGATTTGGAAGACAGGGAGGACAAGGAAGCGGGGAGTGAAAGGAGAGCTGGTTCTCTCTTCGTCTTGCCACTGTCTTTGCAATGACAGGGCCAGAGGGCCAAAGAGAAGAGGGCAGAGAGGGGACGTGAGGAGGTGAGCTGGTGAGGTCGTTTCTGGACTAATTTAGTGTTGCCGATCCAAGGGAAAGGCCCTTGTAATAATATGCCGTAAGTACGCTGGCAGGCTGGCTGCTGGTACGTCGTAAAGGAGCTGGTCTATTCTGTGGGGTGCTAGCGCTGCATCAGATCAGGCAATTGGAGTCCAAGTCCACAAGGATAATTTGGGGGCCGGTGCTATCGGAGAGACGGTACGGAGTGCAGTGTGACACTATGCGCTGCGTTTGTGTTTTGAGGAGATGAATGTGTTTCTGGTGATATGAAGCAATTGTACGGTTGATTTGGGGGCAGTGACGTCGTTTTTTGTCAGATGCGGTGGCGAAACAAGGGCCTCAGGGGAAAGAGCTGGTAGCCTGGAGATCAGGTCAAGCCAAGAAATGCAGCTACGTGCTATTGCAAAACGGTCAACAGCCGGTACAGGAAAGAACGAAGCGTCTTTGAAGGCAAGCAATAAAAGGAAAGAGCGAGGGTTGATGTCCACAAAGAAGACTCGCCATCGGGCCATCTGAGGAAGGAAAGAGCGACCCGTAGTACGAATCCCGTATCTCGCTAGTATCTCTACGGTGGGGAATCGCCTGCTGTATCACACCCAGAAGCGGCCGCGGGACAGCTGCGACACCAGACAGGGTGCGAGGGTCAAACGCCACCTTGCAAAAGGACTCGGGATACAATCACAATCCTGTGTCGGGTGATTTTTGAGGGACAATCCCCAGCAACTCTGGCGCTAGCTAAAATATTCGCTCGAGATTCCACTGGCATCGACGATGGTGGAAGGAGCGAATGAACGTGGCTCTCCAGCATATGGCCTCCCCTTTCTAAGAACTCCGTAACACCATTTGTATTAGTGTCAGACACCAGTGCATCGCAGGAAACAAATGAAAGAAAGTAACAGGACGAGAAAAAGAAAGGACAGACTTGACAAGAGCCAATAGGAGAAGAGACCGGTACATCCTGGTCAAGCATGCTCGAAGCTTCACTGGGGGCTATTGCGGGTGCTGCTCCTTCCAGGGCAGGGCCACTGAGGGAGGTGCGCAGGTGCGCGACGCTGATGGTGGGTGGGGGTTGCTGTTCCGTGTCGGGGGCCATTTCCACAAGGTTCAAAAGGGAAAGCGCGGCGCGAAAGCCAAAGAGGAAGCAAGCAGGCAAGAGGCAAGCCAAGGTCTTGACTGGGTGGAAGAACAGCGGGAAAGAAGACAATAGGACGAACTTCGCCACATTTTTTCCCCTTTTTGTCGCTGTCTCGACAGGAAAGGGCGCTAGCATGAGCTTGCCGACGTCACCGGCGACAGGGTTGCAGAATTGCACATGCCCAGCAAGTCCAGTAAGTCTCCACCTCGACGCGATCAACCAGTTAGGCGGTTTGCGGGGTAAATATTGCTGATTGACGTGGGCCTGGCCTGGCCAGGTCTGCCTGAGCCTGGTTCAACCAGCGGCAGAGCGGGAGGTTTCTTTTATCGTGGGCCTTGGTTTGCATGTAGAGCTTGGCTGCACCTTCCCTGTCTCACTACGCATGTTCTAACTCTGTTTTTCTTTGTTTTGCATCAGTCGTGTTCGCTCTTTCCCCGTGAACGGCATGATTGCGACGTAGCCGTCGGGGTTTTTGTACAGGGTAGGAGCGTTGTACTCTCGTATATACTCCTGCCTTTGATCTCAGCACGCTTCATCAGCATCCGACGAGGTCAAACCATGAAATGCCGTTTCAAAATGTATCGCTACCCTGGTCGGGCCTCGCTCCCGCCATCCCCTCCGTCTACATCGTCAACGCACCATAGGAAATGCGCACTGGAGAGTCCTCGATTTGATCCATACCCAACAGCGGGTTTCGACCCGACGTTTTCGCTTCATTTGGTCCTTCGTCCTCGGCTCCTTTCATTCCCTTCGATGTCGCTTTGATGTCCTTTCACGCGTGCCCTCTTCCTCTTCTCCTCTTTCCACCCTCCATTACAAGCACACCGCGTGCCATTAACGCTGTGGTACCTCATTGATATCCTCATTGCCATTGGCTGGCCATCTCTCGCCGTCTCGTCAATATACACCCAACCATCCAGAAGAGTGCTGAAGCATGCGACTGGCCCGCAGTTGCAATGCAGCTCGAATGCAGCTCGAATGCAGCTCGAATGCAGCTTTCCTGCACTTGCTGCATGCTGACCGCGCACACATTGTTTCGACTAGACAGAAAACACCGTTTTGAGCTGTGGCAGCCACGAAGATACGACCAGATGGCCTGTTCCATGGCTAGAGCATGCAATGCGACGCGGATAATCCTCATTGCCTGCCCGCTGCCCGCTAAGGACGGAGATTGGCGAGATAAGAAGTGCCTTTTATCCCCAGCCTTTCTCAGATCCCTAAAGGAGCGGATCTTGGCCCAAAAGTCTATATATTGCTCAACCGCTTTTGTTGTCAATACCTCCCTGCCATATACACTGGAGACGCGAATTAATATGCACAGATTGATGGTGTATTGGCGATGGAGGGGGGATACAAGTAACGCAGAAGCGACACATCCGGGGAAGTCTACTTTGAAGATGGGCTGTTGACAACTCATACTTGCAGTATCCCCTCTCCCTTAACAGTCTTTTTTTCCTCCCCACATAGCCCAGTGTGTGAGGGTAGGAAAAGGTATCTTTCTCTAGTCATCGTCTTACTTGACAAGACGAGAGACGGACTGAGCTCGAGACTTAGTTGACTTTCAACTACCTTGCCACCTTCCCCAGACACTCCAAGAAAACTAGCGCCAACACCCATCGCAACATGTGTCTTTGAACCTGCTCGGACTAGATGGTCGATAAATTACGTGCCGTGCGCCGAGCTTTCTTGCCCAGGGATAAGATCAGGGTACAAAGAGGAGAAAGTGAATAAATACGAAGCAAAGTGCCTGCTCCCCCGCAGTTTCGAAAGTTTGCGCTGCCGGCTTTGGATGGTCCCGGTTTGTGACCCCCAACAGCATTCTCCCAAAAAGTATCCAAAAGAAATACCAGCTTGAACGCCGTCGTCCACTGGCACCACCAAAGAGGGCATGTGGCCAGGGCGCTGACTTGGGGCATCGCACACGAAAGTCTGGCCTTTCATGGCCTTTTACGGCCGGAATTCGCTTCCACGTCCGCAAGTCGAAGGCCTAGCTCCAGGGATTTACCCCAGATTGCCCAGATCCACTCAGTTTAAGCCCACTCTTCGGTCCTTGTGGATCACGAGTACGTCGGTTTTATGTTTAGTCCAAGAGTCGTTATACTCTAAAAATCATCGACACCCAGGTAAGCACGCCCTGGTTGTCATTGCCATGGAGGGCCATTAGAAGGCCAAGATCTTCATCGCAGAGATAAACTCAAGTGATGGATGAGGTAGAAGCTCGCGGTTTCTACGTTCTTCGTATGTCTTTGTGATCGACCAGTCGGTTTTCTAATCTGGGGCCAAGCATGAAAAGTAACGACTTGAAGGGGCATCATAGATAACCCAACCTTTGTTGCCACAGCAGCAATTCTTCATATCTGCGCTATCAAGAGAGTGCCTTGTCCAACGAGATTCGTATCAGAGCCATCGTCGTTAATCAGAAAGACAGCCCATGTTTCTGATCGAGATTGCGCAATGGCCAATCGTATGGTCTTTTAACTTCGTTTTGGCCAGTATCTGCTCCCACACCAGGTCTAAAGTCTGCGATTGTTTGCTCATATGACTACTCAACAAAGAATGATAACCTTCGATTTAGAGAAGACCGAAAGATAACGCTTGTCTCGCGATTTTATATATGTTCTTTATCCCTCATCTCACATATCGATGCTCCGGTTATCACACACCCCTGCCATCCATGAGCATGCCCGCAATGTTGGCGCTGGTCAGGGTGGCGACGATGCCCGTGATAAGCGCTGATAGGGCTACACGTGCCACATCGCCAGATCGACTCGGTGCAAGCTGCGTCAAGGCACCAATCTGGATGCCCACAGCGCTGAAGTTGCCAAAGCCACACAGCGCATACATGGCGATGATGCGCGATCGCAACGACAGCGTGCTGTACTGCGGGTCCGACGTCAGGTCGCCGTAGGCGACAAACTCGTTGGCCACAATCTTGATGCCCAGCAACTCGGCGACTTTGCGCAGGTCGCTGCCGCCATCGTTGTTGCGGTCAACACCGAGCAGGAATGCCACAGGATACAGCACGTAGCCCAAGATTAGCTGGATGCTCAGCTGTGGAACGTTGACGTAGCTTCCCCACCAGCCGAGCAGACCATCGGCAAGACCGATCAGTGCCATAATGCAGAGCACACTGGCAACGATCATGCCCGCGATTTTGAGTCCCAGCCAAGAACCACGGCCGACAGCATGCAGTGAATTGTAGGTCCGCTCTTCCTCGACAACCTGCTCCCCTGCATAAGAGCCCTCCCGTTGACGGAACTCTGGGTGTCCTTCCTCCATATTGACCTGTACTTGTTCGTCGTGTGTCTCATTTCGCGACGGTGCCTGTCCCCGTGTGACAGGCTCTTCCGTCTCCGGATAGCGTAGCTTTGACAGTGCAATCGATGCGGGGATGCTCATGACGCAGGACGACACAATAGCCACAGGACTGATGCCCATCTGCATGTAGGCTGACATGACGCTGCCGGCAATTGTGGCGAATCCAGAGGTCATGATCTGGTGGAGCTCGGCGTCCGTCAGGCGCGGCATAAATTGGCGGATCAGGACGGCAGACTCGCCTTGGCCGATAAAAGGCGAAGCGGCTGCCACGACAGCTTCTACTCCCGAGATGCCAAGCAGGTAGGTAAATACCGTGGCAAAATGACCGACCAGCCAACCAATCCAGCCCCAGTACTGCAGGAGCTGTACAAAGGCCACGAAGAAGATGACTGCGGGCGCGACGGCGACCAAGAACCAGCCCGCCGACAAGACCGACTTGCTTGTCAAGAAGACGGTACCTTCTGCCGAGTATCCCAGCAGCTTCTTGGCCATCTCTCCAATAAAGTCAAAGACATCGTACCCGACCTTTGTCTTTAAAACCAGTAGACCAAGGATAAACTGCGCTGCTACGCCACCAAATACGGCGAGGTAGTTGATCTCTCCACGGTTCCGCGATGTGAGATAGAATGCACCGAGGAACACAATCATTCCCAATAAGCTGATGGTCCTGTCAGCACGCGTATTGTTGTCCGATGCAGCTGGCACATAGGTGCCGAGAATAACAATGACCACCGTTGCAATGGCAAGTGGGACGTTCGGGTATCGTTGTGAGAATTGCCGAATGCGTTCCGGCTCGGCTTCGTGTACAACAGATTGGCATGCGGATAACTGTGATCCCATATACTGGAACATCCCTGCCACGCGTCGACTTGTCCCATGATGCAAGGCAACTATTCGTGAGACGATTGCAAGCCACACCAAGAATGGGACCACCCATCCGAGATCGTGGCGGTGGAGAATAAGGCCAGCAATCCACCAGCCGGTCATGACAAGGACAACAGTGACAAGTACGAAAACCCGGATAAACTCGGGGGTGCAGTAAACTCGCCATGTCCAGCGTTTGTTCTCGTCTTCCGTCGGAGGGTCGGCCGCCGACGGCAGCATCGCGGCCTCGCATGTGGTATTGACTCCCACCTCTCGAAACTCCTTCGCTTCGCCTGCAGTCGATGGCACTCCAGTAGCACTGCAGTCTTGAGATCGGGCTCGTGTTTCTATGACCGACGTGTCCTTCGCATACCGATTTTCTGAATCGTCCGACGATGCCGTGTTTGAGCCCATTTCGGGGCATGCCTTAGCTTTGTCCATTGGTTGTTCGACGGTGGATATCTAGGATGGACGACGAACTTGGGATTTATTTGGTTATCTTCTAACATTGATGTCGATAATGCCGTGGATGCCGAGGAGGAAGAGCAACAGTGCCCGATGGATGAAAATAAAGACTGTGAAGATGAGAAGCCTGCGAAAAATGCATACCAGAACACTGTTGTGTGCGTTATCGTACAAGACACTGCCACTCAACACACAGAAAATAGCATCCAGAAGAAAGCAGCAAGTCCACATCTTTTACCGCTTTCTGGAGGCTCATTGTTGTGTGCGAATGGCGGTAGGCCAATAGTAATGTGTGGCCGGGCCTGTGGACGGTTGCTGACCGCTCGTCTCGCTCATCGATACTTGTACATTGATACCTGGGATGAGTATACTGTGTGGCCTATTTTGGGCGTTGTTGATGGGCTATCTATTAGTTTTCGCTAGTCGTACGAGGTATTTCGAGTACGTACGTTTTACCCTCGCCGTCGTCACGCGTATCGTGTCTTAGGTAATTACCCGATTTGGCAGTTTCCCGTACAACATCACGACCAGGGCAGCCGCTGACTAACCAGGTCGCAGTCGGCATCAAGAAAGAAGAGAAACACAGCCCTTAGTTACTGCCTCTCTTATTCGCCCGACCGCTATCGTCGCCACTATAAGCAGGCCTGGTGTCGTACACAGAGGGCCAGAGCGTGGTAATTGATAACCGCATGTGCGGCGCCTTGTCCAACAAGTAAAAACCTAACTGTCCTATTGAATTTTCCAATTGCCTGTACTGTCTTATCTAGACGTAATAAAAAGGGCGCTGAGATGGCCCCATTCATATTGTGTCTTGTATCGGTCACTTGTGGAAGGTGAGGCAAGCACGGGGGTCATGACAATAATAGGCAGGAGCAAATATACCTCGTTACACCATCGCAGTTTCCCTTGGTAGCAAGTAAATTTAAACAATTGTAAAAGGAAGGAGCTCTGCATGCCTGGCGAGGCAAGTGCGATACAGAGAAGGCTGTCGCGACTGCAGACGTCACATTGTGTCATCTCTAGATTCGGCCGAGTACATCAATCTTCACAATGGCACAGGAGTGACATCTATAGATGACAGCTATTTTGATGATACTATACATGTCATTTCAGGTCAGTGTACTTCAACATGCCGCTGTTGTTGACTGACGTTGACTGACTTCGTTGTTTGATACGTGAATACACAAACACGTCGGTTGCCACATCCTCCGGCCAGCAAAACGAAACAAACAGTCACTACAAGCACCGTCTCTCAACAACTGTGACTATGCCGACTACTCGGATAAGAAAGATTGCCTCTCAAAGCAACACGCCCTGTGGGTGGGCTGCAACAACAAACGGGGTCGGTCATCCATCCACCACGGCTCCCGTTTTCACTGCAGGTCTGGTTGTGAAAGGAAAGTCAGAGGAAAGTGAAATCAGAACACACTGGACCGAAAAAGCCAACACGTGAACTACCAGACACAATCAGACACGAAAAATAGATGGCCCGCTTTGCCCTACACTACAAGCCTTTACAAACGCACGATGCACAAAGGTGTTAGCTAAAAAGTCGGCATAGCGACGAGGACTCCCACCGACATGGGAAATGCAGGAAATTACAAGCAGAGGCTCGAGAAAAGGACCTTCCGGTCGCAACTTTTGGAACTCACGAGGACGAGGCCGAAAATCCAATACTTGGCGGGAGGCACAAGGCGATGGTGTTGCTGGAACGGGTGTCACGAGCGACCCAAACAAGGTTGACAAGGCCAACGATGAATGGACACCGAACCCGAATCCTTCTCCATTGCGCCAACCTCAGCCAGTCCAACAACGACCTGACGCGCAAGCTGTGGATTCAGAGTTTGAGTCAACTGAAGGGGTGCTCGCCAATGACGATCAAAGTCAAGAGCGGCCCGTTGACGACGAAAGGACACGTGCAGGCACCCAACTCGTGTACAATGAAATGCGACGCAACGAAAAGTTGAATCCCCGGTGAGTTGACCAATCTTGTTTCGCGGTCACCCTTTGGAAATGTCGCGCTGACTGACAAAACGTCTAGACGTCAATACACAGCCGATGGCTGGAACGTCAAGATTGTCTGCAACTCAGTCGAGTGGTACCTCCACAAATATATCCTGCGAAAGTGCCAGTACTTCTCGGCTTTTCTTCCCGTTTCGGAGCTGGACGACGGCTCGGTGAGCGTGATAGAGCTGCACAATCATTGTGCGGGCCAGCTAGCCAACGTTCTCCGATTCATGTACTTTTTTGAATACCCCGGCGCCGAATACGATCCCCGCCAACCACTCTATGCCGATAGTCTCCTTACCAACACGGCCATGTACGTGGCTGGTGCGTCAGTCGGTCACCAGGGAATGATGCAGTACGCCAAAAAGCATATTATAAAGTGGTCCAATGCGGTTCTTCCAGGCTCAACGTCGATGGACGAGTCAGATGGAGATGACCGCATGTCCGCTTCCATACCCAGCCGGTCGGAGTCGCCTTTGGGTTTGGCTGTTCGAAGCTCGGGCCAGATGGACTACGCCATCCTACGCCTGGCTGACCCGCTACTCCGCTCGCTGACAATTGTCTACGAGCAGCCTCTGACAGTCCGCGCAGGCCACTTGTATAATCTCCGCTTAGTCCTCGTTCGCTTTGTTGCGGCTGCGTTGTCGTTTCTCGCCATTAACGCCGCGTTCCGGGCGCACTTTCGAAACGAATGGGAGCGGCCACTGTCCCTGCCACCCTCAGACGATCGGCCCCAAGGAAGGACGGTCATCGACGACATCATTGTGGACTATGCTATGTTTTCTGATCTAGGCCGGATCGGTTGGCAGAAAGTCACCCTAGGAGGTGGAGTGACTGCCCACGTGAAGAAACGATGGCAGCCTTCTCTGGCTCGAACGTTTGCCCTCCTCAAGAGGCTATCCAGGAATGAGAGATCGTGGACGAACAATGGCCTAGGCCCCTACAGGGATGACGTTAATGACTATGACGACGATGACGACGATGGCGACGATGACAACGACGACAGTAAGCCCGAAGAGCAGACCGTTATGCCTGAAACGAATACAAAACCAGAGTCTGGATCCGAACTGTGGTGCGAGTCCGAGGCCGTTCAAAAAGGCCAGGAAAAGTACTTGGAGGCGAGTATGCTAGACCACGAAAAAACCATGCGAGAGCTCTTACAGGGGCTCGACAGTCTTCTGGCAAGTGAAATGTTCACATCATGATGCGAGGTAGAGGAGGTCCATTTAGTGTTTGATCCAATGCCATGTCAATGATATGCCGGCAATACATGCGGCATTGGCAGGTGCTAAAACTTTGCAATATACCGTCCAAAAATTAAACCAAAAGAAGCCATGCTAAATTGCCAGAGAAAATTGAAAGAAAAGATATGCCAGTAAACGCCGTTTTCCTATCGCTTGTAGCCGTTTATGCTTTTATCATAAAAATCTGGACACACGTTAGTTTCCTGTCCTCGGATCCCTGTCCATTGAGCATGGTGTAATGGTTTGCTTACCTGCTTCAGTGCTTGGGGGTCAGCCACGGCTGCCCGCTTCTGGTTGATGTACCGCCTCCGTGCAAGGTTACGGCTAGACACCGTAAATGTTGATGGCACACCGCCAGCCGTTTTCTCCGACTCAGACGGCGTGGCAGTCCCGGTGTCCATCTCCTCGCCCGTCTCCGTCGTAGCCGGGGTTGATTCACCAGACTCCTCGCCGCGCCTCCGCTTCTTCTCCTTCTTCTCCTTCGTATCACTCTTATCCTTCTTTACCTTCATGTCTTTCTTCTCCTTTTTCTCCTTTTTCTCCTTCTTTTCTTTCTTCTCCTTCTTGGTCTTCTTCGTCTTCGCGGCTTTCTCGACCTCATCGACGTCATCCTTGCTCCGCTTTCGTTTCTTGTCCTTCCGGCCACTGTCGTCTGCCTCAAGTGTCTGATTGCTGCTGTCGGCCTCGTCAGAATCGCTGGTCGCTTTCCGTTTTCGTGACTTTTCCTTCTTCTCCACTTTGCGCCCCGTCTTTGCCTTTCTCCGCGCTTCCTTGGAATCATCGGTATCAGCCTCGGATTCGGACGAGAAAGGAGTTGCTTCGGACGTGGAAGCGGTCTCTTCTGTCGCAGCTGCTGGCTCTTTTTTGTTTTCGGACGTTTCGTCGTCACCGATCAAAAAGCCGCCGCGCACGAACCGCATCGGGCCAAACCGGCGCTCAATGTAGAGCGTCATCTTGACGTTCTCGCGCGCCTGGCGCTGCTGTTCAATCACAGCCTCTGATTTTCCGTTGAGTCGCCCCAGAAGGTCTTTGAAGATGTCGAGACCCGTACATTCGTTGGCCGTGTTCGCACCAGGGCCGGATGCGCCGATGCCCAAGTTGTCTTCACGCAGAATGGCCCGGATGTGCGATGAGCTGGCAGCAGTGTACGACATGGTATGTGCGGCATCCTTCTGGCCGAGGTATTGGCCCGGCTCCCATCCATGCGAACGAAGGATCTTATGGCCGTAGTTTTGGGTGTTGCGAGCCCATTTCGTGTTGTTCGGATCGTCGCCAATCTTGCGTTTGCTGCAAAGATAAGAGAAAATGTCAGTCATGTTGGGGAAAGATTAATCAATAGTAACCATACAACCCACTTCTTTACTCCTGCGAGCCCCATGGTGACTGTGCGGAACAGAGAGCGAGGTCCCTGGTTGTCCCGGTCGGTGTTGATAAGTATGTTGACAGAGGCCGAGTACAAAGGAGGGTCGAGAAATTCGAACAAAGCCGCCCTATTGAACTTTTTTCTGCCTGAGATAATTTTAAGTGGGGCCTATCAGAACTTTAGAACACTGATAAGTCGCAACCCCAGACCGCTTCCATAGACGTGACTTATCACGTGATAATCATTATATGTGCTTGAACGTTGGTACATATTTCGTGATGTATTCCACTGAGGAATCATTCATGCGATGGTGCTTAGGAATTGTACCGTCAAATAAGGCAGCGTCTATATGGTTGGTGCTGATGATTGACATAGAACGGAATTCATCATGCTTGGCTTATACTGAGGCAGAGGCAACCGAATTTTAAGTAACTAATTCACAATTGCATAGAACCAAAACAAAATCATTGTGACTTACAAAATAGGAAGGTCAGATAAGAATTGCTTGGAAATGCGATGGGTGTTGTAGATGTAAGGAAGTCGTGAGCGGCAGAGCCGGGTCGCTCCTTCCATTGTCAACAACGATGAAGATATTTGGCATCCATCTAGGGAAGGGGCCTCATGGTTCCCTGAGCGGCTCCTGAAACTCTCGTTTTTTCTTCTCCTTCTTTCAAATAACTCAAAAGTGATTATTCAACATTACGCACATTTCGAATATCAAAAACACCACGATGCCTCCCAGAAAATTGAGCACATCGCGCCGCCAACCCAGCGTTGACCTGACCGGCTTGAGCTCAGACCTGGGCGTCGATAGTGATGCCGACGTCGATTTCGACCCTGTTCTAGCTGCTACAGAGCTGAAGAAAGTCATTGACGAGGTAGAGTCTGACCTTCCAAGGAGAGGCGGAGAGAGTATCAAATACTGAAGTAGTACAGCACAAAAAACATCGGTTTGCGGCCCGCAAGAAGATTGAGAAAAAGTACCAGAACAAGGTGGCCGAGATCGTCAAGAGAACAGAGGCACGCATGGCCGAGCGTGACATGGCTAAGTAGGTCAACCAACAGCAATTTTGACTTATGCTGAAGACATGCTGACAGTGCAGAGCACGCACGCGGCAGGAGAAAATGGGCCGGCTGGTGGCTGCCATGGAAGCCCGCGATGTCAAGCAGCGCACCGTGGCCGACAAGGTGGGCCGGTTCTACAACAGCTGCATGAACCTGACGAGCGTGTTGCAGATGGTGTATAGCGGACTGGCCGAGGACGCGCAGAAGGCAGTCCTTGACGACGGGACCATGGGGATTGATACGATTCAAGGTTGAGAGTCGAGGTCGAGAGCTGGCCCGGATCACAGGACAGCATGTTCAACATAGACAGCGGCAATAACACTCGGTGTGGCTGAGAAGAGGCAACTGAACTGGGAGGATCCGAGAGAAACTGGGAAGAACTGACGGTAATCAAAGGTGTATAAAATCGTGGGGAATCTGTTATTCGTCATGGTGAATCTAAAACGTAGGCCATGGCCTTTTTCTAACCGTTATAGTGCCTTTCAATGAACATGATATCGTACAATTAGGCTGACCGCCGCGTTCGTGCGCTGCAGGTACACCGCCTCTCTGTTTCACTCCGTTTCTTTTTTCTTCATATCTTTTTGTCTCCACTTTCGTTTCTGTTGTCGATTCTGCCCGTTTATACCTTAAAGCCAAAGCCAGCCATGCAGGTGCGGTATTGGTCGATGGTGGATTTGCAGTCGACGGACGGGTTCGCGGCGTTGGAGAAGAGCATGCACTCGTCGCGCTTGGACTTTTCCTGTGTGCAAACGCAGCAGGGCTGGCGAGTGTTAGTTGGCCAATTCGATCTGGTTGGGGACGGTTCGCAAATTGGAATCGGTACGAACCTTGGGCTTCGAGGCAGCTTCGCTGGTCGCAATGGAGGGTGCCGGGCACGATTCGGCCGCTGGTGAGGAGAGAAGATGTTAGCATGGGTTCCGAGTCGTAATCTTTGCCATGACGTAGGAGCCGGATGGGTCTCGTACCAATTGATGATTTCTGTTGTGAAGACGACATTGTGTGTGGTACGGGGAGATTTGAGAGGCGTAGGATAAGGCCGAAAGACTGCGAGAAGGGACGGTATACGAAGTCGTCGTTTGAGAAGAAGAAAACTTCGTGAGACTTGTCGGAGAGGAAATAAACTTGAGCAGGTTTTTTTTTGGAGTTTGGTTGCTTTGCATTTGTCAGTCCAGAATTGCGACAGCCTTCTGGTGGAGCGATGCATTTCCGGCGTCAGCCGAAGGGGGTCACGTGCGGCACAGGCGATAGTGGCGATGGGCAGCACGCCTGAAGCATAGCGCATTGTAGACCGTTGCCACCTGAAAATAGACCGCTGGATAACTGCCCCGTTTTCATGATCCTATTTACTTTTCCGGCGCATCGTTTTCTTATTCAGCCAATCATCTCGCCCAGGAGCAGATTTTTGTAGCTCTCCATGCCCTCGGTCAGCTTGATGTAGGCGCCGGCGGCCAGCATTTGTATTTCGCTTTCTTGACTGCTACCACTGGCATCAGTACCTCCGCCGCCGCTACTGCGGATATTGTCCAGTACTTGCAGCGCCCACTCCCGGGTTTGGACAACCTCGCGCGGCAGATCGCGACATAGTTCGCGGACGCGGTTTTCGTTGACGTCAAGCAGTGCCATGAGGGCAAAGAGCACAGCATGCGTCACAAGCACGTCGCCGGCGCAGCGGGCCTGCACACTACTGCTAAGCAGAAGGCGCCACAGCTCGGCTGTCATGTCGGGCAGAGCGAGCAAACCAGGACCAGCGGCATGCAGGATTACAGCGAGTGTCTTGAGGTAGAGCGAGAGCAGCGAAGGGTCAAAGAGGACGCGGCGCATACGCGTCGAAGACGACGTCTGGAGCGCGAGCCGGAACCGAGCAGCGAGTGGGAAGAAGAATGCCGACGAGAGGAGCGGTCCAGACGTGTTGACGGCGGCTGCTGGTTGTGCGGCCGTGCGTTTTCCTTTTGCTGTGTTTACAGCCTTGTTATCGCCGGCGCTCTTCGACAAGCGTGACTTGAACGAGGTCAGCTTGAGAGCGTCTGGGCCTGTCGCATCGTCTGCCGCCTGAGCAGCGATTGGACGGAGGAATGTGGCTGTGAGCGAGTCTGTAATGGAGTCGAGAACGCCCGGGCCGAGCGCCTTGAGAGCCGAGGCGCTGCCCGGCCCAATTCCTGGTTGGGACGCTTCTGGGGCCACGTAGAGGCGCTCCATGCGGTTGGGCAGCTGCTTCGAGGGAAACGCGGCCGCCGATGCGTATTCCGAGATGTCAAAGCCGGCCAGTTCGCGGGCTCCCAGACCCATCGCCGTCAAGACGGATGCCCGCTGAGCGAGAGAGTAGTCACCATCGAAGAAAGTGTGGGCGTACCACGGCCCGACGAGCTGGGGCTGGGCCACAACGAGGGCCACCATACCCTGCAGTCGTAGCTGGTCAAAATCGGCCATCTCGAAGGCGTCCTGGAGGCCGACGAGAATCGAGGCGAGGTCTTGAGCATGCTGCTGCACCTCTGTGCCGAACGTGGCTTTGCGACGGATGAGGACAGGCGCAGTGGCCAGAGCCAGTTTCTGCTTGTCGTAGTTCTCAATGTCACGAAAGTAAGAAATCAGGTCGCGGATGTACACGGGCGCCTTGGGCTTGTCGCGGCGAATCATGGTCGGGTCGTCGTCCGAGTCTTCGGCATCCGAGTCTGGTTTGCCGTACGCAACAATATCGTCCTCCACAGCGCCTGTTATGCCCTCATCGTAGTCCGAATCGAGCTCCTCAATGACAAAGCCTGATTTTCTTGGTTGGACTGGTGGCCGGTGGACCGGCTTCGCAGCTGTTTTGGATGGCTGCAGTTTATCTGTTTTGGCTGCTTTGGTTGTCTTTGCCGCGGCTGACGTGCCCTTTGTTTCTGGTGTCCGTTTCCTCAGCAACTCAAGCGAGCCCATCGTGTCAGAGACCTGCACAAGGCCCTTATACCAAATGGCCTCGTCCGACTTTGTCTCGTCCATGTGGAAGTCGAGTTTCTTGTTATTGTCGTCAATGAGCCCGGACAGAGCCTCGCCGACTACCATGCCTAAAAACCTGGCCCGGTTTTGTGACGCACCCAAACGATTCGACACCGTCTGGAGATACGTTCGAGACCGTAGCAGAGAAGTGAGCGCTCGTTGTGATCCCCGGCTAACGTACCCAGCGCAGAGAAGTATCACCTGTGCCTTGGCTGTATTTGTCAGTGTTTGTTCTTTCATTTCCTTTTTTGCCTTCAATAATACCATGTGCTCACCTTCTTGCTGTATTATCGGGGCATGCTTGATAAACAATTGGTCTCCGAACTCGGCTATCGACTTCTCCAAAATCTCGGTCAGGCTCTTCGGTGTTTCAGCAACCACAGCAACGACTGCCCGCCGAATGCCGATACCGTTGATAAGTCCCACGGCGGCATTTGTCAAGAGCCACGAAATGAGCTGCTCTCGGAGAGTGGTGCTGCTGTCGGCCACACTCTTTATGAGACTGGCTACGGCAGCCACAGTTGCTGTGTCAACAACCGTAGAATCTGGAGAAGGTGAAAGGAAGGTCTCCGCCGCATATTTCAGTACGCCAAACAGTATCTTCTTTTGTTCGTGAGTTGGAAGATGATCCAGAATATGGCTCAAAGTGCTGTTGTCCAACCCAGCATTGATCAGGATGAGATCAGAGACGAGAGATGAGACCACAGTGTCTGAGAATGTCAGTAGTGCTCCAATCAACGCAGCAAAAATAATTAAATAACAAGATATTAAAAACGTACCAGGATATCCAAGCCGAAGAGCTTTCGCAAGAAGAGAACCCTGCACTTTCTTGTGCTCTGGGTCCGCGTCTTTTACGGCCCACCTCATAATGCCCTTTGCCAGCCACAAACTGTATTCTCTACCATTGGCAACCCAGGTCGCAGGGAGCTTCTCGGCACTGAACTCGGAACGAACAGCCATCTCAGATTCGGCCGCGAGCGAGACAATCCGCCCACCACCAATGATACTCAAGTACTCTTGTGCGAGCGGCCGCCGTTTGGCATCATCATCGGATGCGGCCGTGCTGACGGTCCAGACCTGGCAAACGACCTCGTCGCCGGCCAAGAGCTCAGACAGCAAATCGACCAGGATCCGGAGCTGCCATGCCGGGTTTCCTGGCTGATCGTTTGTGGCAGAGGCAACGCTGCCTGCCGCCGTCTTTGTTTTCGTTTTTACTTCTGCTAAGAGAGCACGGAGTCTCACGACCAAAGCACTTAGGCCGGTCACGCTCCGGAGGCACGCGAGCAACGACGCAAGAGCAGATTGCCCTTTATGATCCTTGGTACCCTCGGCTCGGAGGAGCGGCCAGTAGTTGGGCACAATGGCCGTCACCAGCACCTGGACCACCTGGGCAGACATTGGCGTAGGCTGGCGGACGTCGACTTCGGACTTGCCAGAGAGAAGGTACTGCAGCACTGATACAAGTGAATCGTAGTCGGGTTCGTTCCGCAAAATATCCAGCGCCTCGTCGGCCGATACGGCCGCAAAGTGCAGTCTTTTTGGCGTTGACGTTGGAGCTGTCGTTGGCGACAAAGATGTCGTAGTCTTTTTCACCTCTTGAAGCAACGGCTCGTCGTGTGCAGCCACCATGTTGTAGGATGTGCTGACGGGCGAGAGTAGTGCATCCATGTTTAGCCCACGTGTGCACCAAGACACTGACGATTCGGCTTGTCAACGGAGCGGCATGTGTTTGTTGTTTGATTTGTCGCATGAAGTGAAGGCGGCGGTGCGCAGGTTGGATGAAGCTTTGCTCCACTGGGCGCAAACTTGGCCGTGACCGCTGACGTTATAGCGGAGCGAATGCGCTGTAAAGCTTATCGATAAGTTCCTGCCCTGTTGCAATCGCCTAAAGCTCAGGTAATACAGGCAGCTGTCGAACGCCCCGCGATTTGTAACAGGCCGACACCTTCAATCCAACCTCATCTCGACGACAGACTACGCCGGGAAAGGGCCGCGTTTTGTTCCTTCGCCATGGCTGACACTGTGGTAGAAACACGTTCTGAGCGATGGTATGTCCCGGTCGGCTTTCCGAACGGTTGCGCCAACGGTCCCAACTGTCCCTACCGCCACGGCTTCCTCCGACACTTGCTCGCCTGACCAGTCTTTATGATGCTGACGGATGTTTCTACAGGAAATACCTGGACCGGGTCCGGGCAACCGCTGGGCCGTTCACGCCCGTGGAGGCCGGATACGAGGCGGAGAATGTAATCCCGAGTGTCGATAGAATGAAGATCCTGGTAATCGGCGCGGGCGGCCTCGGCTGCGAGATCCTCAAAGACCTGGCCCTGTCGGGGTTCAAGGACATTCACGTCATCGACATGGACACCATCGACATCTCGAACCTCAACCGACAGTTCTTGTTCCGCAAGTCCGATGTTGGCAAATACAAGGCCGAGGTAGCAGCGCAGTTTGTCATGCGGCGCGTGCGCGGCGTCACCATCACGCCGCACAACAAGCGCATCCAGGACTTTGACGAAGACTTTTACATGCAGTTTCAGATCGTCGTGTGCGGCCTGGACAGCATCGAGGCGCGGCGCTGGATCAACGCGACGCTCGTCAGCATGGCCGAGTCGGACGAGACAAACGACGGCATCAAGCCGCTGATCGACGGCGGCACCGAAGGTTTCAAGGGCCAGGCCCGCGTCATCATCCCGTCCATCACGTCGTGCATCGAGTGCCAGCTCGATATGCATGCGCCCCGTGCTGCTGTGCCGCTGTGCACGATTGCCAGCATTCCGCGGCAGCCCGAACACTGCATCGAATGGGCCCACGTCATCGCCTGGGACAAGGAGAAGCCGTTCCCGGCGCTCGACAAGGACGACCCAGAGCACATTTCGTGGCTCTACCAGAAGGCGCTGATCCGCGCCAGCGAGTTTAACATTGCAGGCGTCACGTACGCGCTGACGCAGGGCGTCGTCAAGAACATTATCCCGGCCATTGCGTCGACCAACGCCGTCATCGCCGCCAGCTGCTGCAACGAGGTCCTCAAATTCGCCACAAGCGTCGTGCCCCCATTCGGCGACGAGGCCAACTACATGATGTACTCGGGCAACGAGAGCATCTACACGTACACATTCAAGCACGAGCGCAAAGAGGACTGCCCCGTGTGCTCCGAGGACCAGAAGGCGCGGCCGTTGCCGACGGATCTCAACATGACGCTCGGCGAGTTCCTCGACTCATTTAGCGACCGCCCCGAGGCGCAGTTGAAGAAGCCGTCGATTCGCGCCGAGGGCAAGACTCTCTACATGCGCAGCCCGCCGAGTTTGGAGCAGCAGACGCGGCCCAACCTCGACAAGACCCTCACAGATCTAAAACTAGAGCACGGCTTTGAAGTGGTCATCACAGACCCAGCGTTCCCCAGCCTGGTTTTTAGTTTTATTTTGACGCCCAAGGCGTGAACTAAAGTCAGACGGCAATTTAATGATGCACGAACGAAGAGTAAATGATACTACACACAGTACATAACAAACCACAGTCTTTCAGCAAAAAGAAAGAGGGACCTTTTGTTTCATCAAACTTTGATTCCATTTCGATATTTGATATGCCAAACGCCATGTTTCCACCCCGTGGGTACTTAGATACAACCTGTCTATGTACGATGCAGCAAACAAATGACACCAGAGAAAGAAGCCCGAACGCATTCCAGGGACTGAATAACGACAAAAATGACACAAAAAAGAAACATGCCGTAAATGCTATGCAAAGCCGCTCCACAATACACACCTTGGGCCACCTCTCAGCGGATCATGTTCTTGACCTGCTTCTCCAGCTTCTGGCACTTGGCCTTGAGCATCTTGACCGACTCCAGGAACAGCTCGTCGCTGTCCCACTGGCCCGTGCTCTCCACCGAGTAGATAAAGTGGTCCTTGCGCCGACCCAGTTTTACCTTGCCCTGGAACTCGGGGTGCCGTAGGCACTCGCGGCTGACCGTGTCGCGCATTGGGTCGACGACAGTCGCGCGCGTCTCGCCCACGTGCTCCGCGTATGCCTTGTCCTGCTCGGCCATCTTTTTTGTGACCTTTTCGAGGCCAATCACACCCTCGGGGAAGCACTTTGCGAATTTGATGGCGTCGGCACCCACAATGGGCTGCGTGATGTGGATGATGGGCAGCAGGCGGTACGACGCCGTGCACACGGGCGAGAACTTGGCGTGGTCGCCGCCGACACCCTTGTGCATGTGCATCTCAATGTCAATGACCTGGCCGGGCCGCAGCTTCGCCACCAGAATGTCCGGGTTGACGGGCACAATGGCGTCGTCGCCCGAAAAGTACTCAGGCTGCCGGCCCTCCGGCACAAACACAATGTCCTTGGCGTAGACGTGCGCGTGGTGGTAGAGCTTCGTGGGGTCGGTCTCGCCGGGCGCGGCGGCGGTGTTGCGCGTGCACTCGACACGCAGGTCCAGCTTGAGTGTGTTGTAGTCAAACGACGTCGGGAACTCGCTCGGGTCGGCGTCGGCCGCCGGGCGCTTCCAGAACTTGATAAAGTTGCGCAGGCCGTCCTTGCCGCCACGGAACGGGATCAGGCCCAGGCGGTGTGCGAGCACCTCGTCCTGGATCACAGAGGTGTTGTTGTCGATGAATGCCGTCTCGATGGCGACCGTCGGGATCTCGGCGATCATGATGCGGCGGAAGGCGTTGGCGATGCTGGCGTCGATGCCTACGATCGAGAATGCCGCATCGTACGGCTCATTTTTGTGGAACACGACCTTCAGACTGTCACGGAACTCGTCGACGTCCCACGCTAGGTCCTCACCGGGGTAGTTGCCGGGGAAATCGGTGGCCGAGACATTTGTGACCGTCTCGAGGTTGACTCCGATCGTCTGCACGAGGTTGATGTTAGTGGGCAAGAAAAAAATGCAAACAAAAATGCCTTCCTGCAAGGATCAGCTCACCCTCCGTCGGTCGACCTCTTCTTGACTAGGTTTCGTTAGCGGTGCCATTGTGTTTGCATGGCGATGCGGTTGTGGTGGTGTCGTCGAAGAGAGAAGGCTGTCGCGCCAAATGCAGGCAAAACTTTTTTTCTTTATCGCCCAAAGCAATGGGCCTTATCGCTCGCCTGCTCTCGCCGGGAAGGAACTCTAGGTGGGGGACGGCTGGCCAGACTGCCCCACTAAATGGACGATTGTCCAATGAAACCTACCAATGTAATTGAAGCTCTGTGACTCGCTCGAAGCGGAAAATAAGCGGGTCTGAACGGATGGCCAGTTGTTCCGGTCGTAGTTTCTTCCTTCCTGGGTGAAGAGCTCGGGTCTTGACGGCGCGAGACATTTTGAGGCACTGAACGGGCGTCTGTTTTCGCACGTACGGCTGTCCCCTCCCTCTCCCCGACCGATCTCCGCAATCCTACACCGGCTCCGAACGTGCAATTCGCATCGGGGACGCGAATTGTCTACCTCGTCAATCTTTTCCGGGACGCGTGCGCTGCATTCGCCCCTCGACGGCTGTCGATCCAATCTCCCCTCCTCAAATATCTCGACTCGTTTTTCTGTGATTGCGATCCTTCGCCAACTTGTCACCCATCAGTAGTCATATAACCCGTCTGTTCGACCTAGGCAGGCCATCACAGCCATGTCGAGCCTCTACCGGTTAGCCGGCCGTGGCACCGCTAAGCGGCTGTGCCTGCGGCCAATCACCTCCACCTCCCCTAAAGTCCAGGCCGCCGCCGCCCTGGCACGACGGACACCAGCTCTCCGGGCTGCGTTCTCGACCGCCACGCAACGCCGGTATGCGTCGCCGTACGAGGGCCAGGGCACGCGCATTGTGCCCGTCGGCGAAGACTTCCAGGTGCCGAGCCCCGAGGACCTGCTGGGGCGCCAGGTGCCGAGTGAGGAGTACAGCAAGGCGCCTGTGACGGACAACACGGTCGAGGGCCGCAAGATGCGGCACTACACAGTCAACTTTGGTCCGCAGCATCCGGCTGCTCACGGTGTGTTGCGGCTGATTTTGGAGATCAACGGCGAGGAGATTATCCGTGCGGACCCGCACATTGGCCTGCTGCACCGTGGCACGGAGAAGCTGTGCGAGTACAAGACGTACCTGCAGGCATTGCCGTACTTTGACCGGCTCGACTACGTGTCCATGATGACGAACGAGCAGTGCTTCTCGTTGGCCGTGGAGAAGCTGCTGAACATTGAGATCCCGCAGCGGGCCAAGTTCATCCGCACGTTGTTTGGCGAGATTACGCGCGTGCTGAACCACCTGATGTCTGTGCTGTCGCACGCCATGGATGTCGGTGCCCTAACACCCTTCCTGTGGGGTTTCGAGGAGCGCGAAAAGCTGATGGTACGCCCTCTTTTTTAAGTTTCGTCGGGTTGAGGGTCGATGGGGCCGAGACTGAAAACTGACGACGCTGACGGCATATAGGAATTTTACGAGCGTGTTTCTGGTGCGCGTATGCACGCCGCCTATGTCCGCCCTGGCGGTGTCCACCAGGACATCCCGATTGGCCTACTTGACGACATTTACCAGTGGGCGACGCAGTTTGGCGATCGCATTGACGAGACGGAGGAGATGCTGACGGACAACCGCATCTGGATCAACCGTCTGCAGGGCGTCGGCGTTGTGTCCGCCGAGGAGGCGCTGAACCTGTCGTTCACGGGTGTCATGCTGCGCGGCTCGGGTGTTCCCTTTGACGTGCGCAAAAACCAGCCGTACGACGCGTACGACCAGGTCGAGTTTGATGTTCCTGTGGGCATCAACGGCGACTGCTACGACCGGTACCTGTGCCGCATGGAGGAGTTCCGCCAGTCGCTGCGCATCATCCACCAGTGCCTGAACAAGATGCCCGCGGGTCCCGTACGCGTCGAGGACTACAAGGTGTCGCCGCCGCCGCGTGCGGCCATGAAGGAGAACATGGAGGCGCTGATCCACCATTTCCTGCTGTACACCAAGGGCTATGCGGTGCCGCCCGGTGACACCTACAGCGCGATCGAGGCGCCCAAGGGCGAGATGGCTGTGTACGTGGTCAGCGACGGCAGCGAACGGCCGTACCGGGTACACATCCGTGCGCCTGGCTTTGCCCATCTGGCGGGCTTCGACCATGTGTCCCGTGGCCATCTGCTGGCTGATGCTGTGGCCGTGATTGGCACAATGGATTTGGTGTTTGGTAAGTCTTGCCAGTTTTCCTGTTGACCAGCGTCTCTTATTTTCTAGCTCCCCCTACTAATTCGTGTTCTCTTCAAGGTGAGGTCGATCGGTAATATGAGAAATGAATCGTTTGGAGAGCGTTGGACCAGCGCGCAGTGGAGGAATCGTGTGTATATATGCAAAGCAATTATCATCATTTACTTTTTCATTTTTTTATGTTTCATTTTGTTTTACTTTTTTCACTTTTACTACGTTCTTATCATGCTCTTTTCTGGGGAGAGACGGGCAAGACGAGCGACAACGAGGCTCACAAAACTGCTTGTTCCCGGTTATGAAGAAGCCCACAACAACAGCAGAAACAATACAAAACAAAAGAATGCCCCCAATTCGTATTCTCTTGAGCTAATCATAAATCATTTTCGTCTAGGTCGTTTGTCATCAACATAAAATAAATCATCGCTTAAATCCCGGAAACAGCATCAAACCAACCAAACCAAACGTCTTTACTAAGGTTTTCAAGCCCCTTGGGCAACATTCTGCAACAACAGCACCCCCAGGTCTGCAGCGTTTGCCAACCCATCAATAATCTAATCGGGTCATAGCATGTCGTCTTCGCCCCCCCTAATTTCCCCGCCCCAACTTCGTTCTTGCTTCAGGAGCGTCTCCAACACGAAGGTCGATTGCGCCACGGGATTCCGTGGGAGACACCTTCCGGGCCTGCTCCAATGGGAAAACCGACAAGTGGAACTCTCATGCGGGCTTGCTGCTCGTGGTGCTCTTTCATATTGGCCATCGTCCGGGCCCGGGGCCGTCCGCTTGACTGTCTGGACTGGTTCTGGACGAGGTCGGCTCCCCTGCTAAATCCTTCATTCCTGTGCCCTTCGACCAGGGTCAACTCCCCACCAGTCTCGTCGAGAACACAATCGAGCATCATCGCCTGGTCGCTGCTACCGGGGGCGTATGGAGATGGCTGGGATAAGAAAGGCCCCATAAGCCGGAGATACTCGGGCACCTCGGCAAAGACAGCGCCTCCGTAGCGCACGCTCTTGCTGGGGAGTGGTGTAATTGGTGTGTGGGCTACGACAAATCCGTCCTCCTGCACGACGTGGTCCTGGCTGCCCTGGGCGTCGTACAGTGCATCTTGCAATGCGCCCGCAGCGGTCACAAGGCCCTTGGAGGCATTGGCCTGCTGACCGTCTCCAGCCAAGAAGTACGAAAAGTCGTCGTGCGAGCTGCTGCGTGTGAGTTGCCGCACCGGGGTTGTGATTTCTTCGCTGCCGCTGCTGGAAGATATCACCGACATGGAGACTGCTCGACGGAGAGATCGTGACGCTCCAGTGTCGTTCTCGGCTTGGGTCTCGCCTGTCCCGACCTCGGACCGTTCGATCTCATCACATTTGGCCTCCTTATAGGTTCGAAAGTCGACGCGACACTGACAGAGACCGGTATCATGGCGCGCGCGGTGGTCAGCGACCCACTCGGCCGCGTACAAGCTGGAGAGACGGACGGACACAGTCGTGCGCCCACCGGGATCTATGGCCTCGCAAAGTAACGGCGGCAACTGAATCTCGGTGGTCTCCGGGATTTCGGACGTTTCGGAGGTACTGTCGGCGCCATCGCCCGCCCAGACATCTGTTCTGCCATGAGAGTCGCCGGCATGGTAGCTAGTGACTGCGTGCTCGTTGCCACCACCGTCACAGCTGCCAATCACGCGGGGCCGGATCAGGTACGGGAAGACCGTCTCGCAGCCACAGACGCCGCGCTCGTGCATGAACCGATGTTCATACTCTTCAATTTGTGTCGCGCGGCTGTGGACGATCTTCTGGCAGGCGGAACACATCTCGCCAGCAAAGAAAGTCTTGTCACCACGGCGTGAGCAGGCCGGGAAGGTGTGGCTTGCCGTGGTCAGTGGGCACGGCCGCAGGACAGGCAATGACGTGTGCCCGCACGTGTAGCCAACAAACTCAATGAAACACATGCTTTCGGTATGTGTTTGCCCTGTATTGTTTCGGATTGTGATCCAGCGGGTATGGTCTCTAGAGCAGTCGTTTCCCTGAGTCTGGTCTCGGTTGCTCGTCGGCGCTCTTGGGCGGCAAGGGAAGACAACTGGGTTTTAACTTTCGGTTGTTAAAAACTGATAAATACAAAACAAAATGGGGGCGAAACAGGTGACATACGTCAGTCTTCGCACAGAAAGCAGTGGTATAGTGACTTTGGTCGCTAGAGACACAGACTGAACGCGTGGTTGGCTGCTGGCTGACTAGTAGGCGGCAGGGGTTTGAAAGATGGACGGTTGGCTCAGGCGGCGGCTCGCACGCTCGGATGTTGAATGCCGCTCGATGAGAGCAAGTGAGCTCATCGTACAGAAGAGCAAGGTATGCAGCAGACGAAAGAAGAAAAGAGGAAGAGGTAGACTGGAGGCGACAGACGATACGAGCAAATTTTTTTCCTTAAATAGGCAGACCATCCAAAAATATTCGACCTGGACGTCATAGCGGGACCCAGACGACTTACAGAGGGTGCATTCTGAGAACATACTGACAAGAGAGGCCAGACTTTGAAAGTACCGATTGAAGAGATGAAGCCAACTTTTGAACAACATTAAAGTTGACGTTTTATTTTATTTTTGGCTATTCTAATGCTACATATACAACGTACGGCCTTCTCCAAGTAGTTGGAAGCCGATGCAGCCCGAGGAGAGGCAAAATAAAACGTGCGAACACGACTCTTCCAGGACTCAAAGGGACACAATTTGCGATTTTGATCATCGTATCTTGTCACATACAAACTTTCAAGGCTTAATACCTCCATATCTGAACCCCATTCTCTTTTTTTCTATACAGTTCATCTTCCTATCGTCAAGTGGTTGTTCGTGGATGCGCAGCCTTGCGGGTCTGGCACAAGGCTGAGAGTGGGTCCAAAATGAGGTGCACGTGATGGGCTGCTTTAAATGGCTTATATAATACAGCAATGGCCTGGGACCCACAATAACCATTGGCTGGGCGCGACTTCGATTCTAGAAGCAGCTGTCTTAACTCTCCTCGCTTCTCCAGACTGCTGGACGTGCACCTCTTTCTTCACTACTACGAACCACGACCGAATAGACAATTCGGGCTCGTGTGCGGCACTTTGATCCAGGGTTCTATTTCCTGTGTTCTTGAACGTTTTCCGCCAGCGCATATCTTGGCACGTGGCCACCCGCACGAGCTCCAATTTCTTGTCTTTTTGTCTTTTTATTTTCTTTGTTGTTCCTTTCGACGACCACACTCCTCCAGCCTCGCTGCGTTCAGACGTTCCCTACCCTGTGTCGATCTCCCGTTGCCACGCCCTTGTTTCGCGTGGTACTGTCCGACCTCCAACCTTCTTCTCATAGCATTGTGCGACCGTCGACCTGCACTGGTCGCTCTTCACCTCTTCTTGAGCGTCCTCCGTCCTCGGCTGTTCCCCCGTCCTCTACGCCACAGACCCCTGTTATCGCCACCCGCCTGCTCAACAGCCTTTTCCATATCACGCCCAGCCGGCAGCCAGCCTTGCGACGATCTATCCTTCCGTCTTTATATTCTTTCGAAATTTCTCGAAAACGCCTCAACCTCAACCTTAACCCAACTCTCTTCGCAATACATCGCCCAATATGTCCGACAAATCGATTGAGCGCGAGCTCACCACGCGCATCAAAGCGCTCAACAAGGCCGTGACCTCAAACGAGCCGGTGCCGGGTATCCTAGCCATCATGGAGACGCTAAAGAAGGGCGCCGCGCCTTCGGAGGAGGTGCTGCGGGTACGTGAGGATTTGGCGATTGCACTCCCTGGTTTTGTCTACTGCCTTCGTCCTGAAACTAACGCGCCCTCTCCCTCCACTCTAGTCGACAAAAGCCGGTCATATCGTCGGAAAGCTGCGGACGCACGCCAACGCCGAGGTCAAGTCGATGGCTGCTGAAATCGTGAGCAAATGGCGCAAGGCCGTCGAGGCCAGCAAGAAGAAGGGCAGCATCGGAACCGGCAGCACTGCCGGCAGCACAACAGCGAGCAAGACCGCCTCGCCCTCGGCCAGCACGCCCCAGAGCAAGACAGCGTCGCCTGCGCCTGCCGCGTCCGGCCGCTACAAGGGCGACCCGGAGAAGCGCAAGTTCGACGTGGACGGCGTCGACGTCAACCGCACCGGCATCCAGAGCCGCGACAACTGTATTGGCCTCATGTACAACGGCCTGGCCTACCGCTCGGTCGAGGCCGCCGACGCCATCTTGGTCAAGGCCATCGAGGTCGAAAAGGCCGCCTTTGTCGCCTACAAGGGCGAGACCACCGAGTACCGCGCCAAGCTGCGGTCGCTCTTCCAGAACCTCAAGAACCGGTCGAACCCCGCGCTGGCACGGCGGGTCGTGTCCGGCGAGATTTCCCCCGACGTATTTGTGGTGATGACATCGGACGAGCTCAAGTCTGCGCACCTCAAGCAGCTGGAGTCGGACCTGGCTAAGGAGAACATGAAGAAGGCGCAGGTGCCGATGACGGAGAAGTCCATCAGCGACGCGTTGACGTGCGGCAAGTGCAAGCAAAAGAAGGTCAGCTACACGCAGGCCCAGACGCGGAGTGCTGATGAACCGATGACGACGTTTTGCGAGTGTATGGTGTGCGGACACCGGTGGAAGGTAGGCAACAACGGCTGCGGTCCTTACTATCATCGCAATAAGTCACGTTATGGATTTCATACTAACATTGACCATAGTTCTCGTGACCGCATTGACTACTGTGCGTTTATGTTGGCGTGTACTGATTTATATGTTTTTAATTGTTGGGGCGGCAATGGGTGTAACGGGCCTGGTTTTCGGCTTCTGTTTCTGTTTCTTTTTTTTTCTTCCTTTTTTTTGGAATTGCCTTCTTCTTTTCATCATTTTCTCCATCACTTATCTTCCCTTATGTGTGTCTATCCACTGTCTAATGTCTAAATGCATTACCAGCCGTTGGCATATGTTCCGGGTGGAGAGAATACAGGAGACCGAAAAGCGCATACGGTAGATATTAAGAGATAAAAGTTTTGAGGTTGTGGCAAGACAGCGGCGGTGATGGTAGCACTTTTTGAAGGGGTGTTTTTCTCTTTTTTTCTGCTTCATATATCTAACCCATTTTATTCCCACTGGGCCTATTTAGGCATGTATCAAGAAATCGCCAGTGTAATGTCGTCATGTCTCTTTGCCTTTTTCTCATTTCCATTGTATCGTACATAGACTCATTCTTCGCACATTAACTCACTATTCACCCCCCTGAACTACTCGCTCTTCCGAGATGGTAACCCTAACAGACCCAGCAGGTCATCACCATGTAAGTCTGGCTGCACGGTGCCTGTTTTGTCGTTGGCCTCGTCCCGTGCGCTCATCTCACCCACTTTCTTGTAGAACTTGCTCAGATGGCGGAGTCCGGTGTCGCACAGCACCGTCACAACACGGCTGCCGGGCGGAAGCGTGAGAGCTACAGCCACGGCCGCGACGCAGTTGACCGCGGTTGAGCTGCCTGCAAAAATACCGTCATGTTCGACGAGCCAACGTGCCATCAGACAGGCCTGTGTGTCTGTCACCGACACCGCATCGTCAATCAGGTGCAGACCGGCGTCCAGCGTGGCCGTCATGCGGTTCATGCCGATGCCCTCGACAATGGTGTCCACTTGCGATCGCCGGCGTGTTCCCTCCTTTTCGGTCGCCGCGTATAGCACACCGTTGCGGACAAGGTTGGCGAGACCCGACCCCTGTGGGTCGGCAGCAACGATGCGAATGCCTCTGCGCAGGCCGGCATCCTCTTTGAGGTACCGTGCAACGCCTGTCAGCGTACCGGCTGTGCCAGCACCACAGACAAAAGCAGCCAGTGGGGAATGGACGTGTAAGGGTTGGTTTTGGTGCGGCCCGTGATTCGGGTTTTGCTGAAGCTGGCGGACGTGGAGCTGGTGTTCCCGTGTACCAGAGTAGGCGGCCACTTGACGAAGGATCTCTGGCCCTGTGGCCCGGCGGTGGGACTCGGCATTCGCAGGTGTCTCAAACTGGTCCGAAAAGAAGCCCTTGCTACCGTCGTCGTGCTGGCGTTCGTGCTCGTCTGCCAGTCGCCGCGCCCGGTTGACAAAGTGGCCCGGGTCGACAATGGGCGCAACCGGCACACGCTCCACCACGGCGCCCATCTCGGTCAGCAGCTGCGACTTCTCGAGGCCCATATCGTCGGGCATGCAGATATGCGCCCGGTAGCCCAGTGCGCGGGCCAGAGTCGCAATCGAGATGCCCGTGCTGCCGGATGTGCCCTCGTAGATTGTGTCGCCACGGTATGGGACCAGCAGTCCACGCGCCTCGGCTGCCCGGATGACACCGAGAGCCACACGGTCTTTCGGGCTGCCTCCTGGGTTGAACATCTCGCCCTTGGCCAGGATCTCGCATCCTGTCACCTCGGACAAACTGCGAATGCGGATCAACGGCGTGTTGCCGATGCAGCCAGCAATGCCGTCGGCCACGGGCGGTGTGCCCTGGTGCAGCTCACTGGACGCAGCTAGAAGAGACCAGTCGTCGGCCTCATCGTCAGAGGAGACGGGATGCGACTCGTGGTCCTCGAGAACGACACCGGCCTCGGTGGTGCTACTTTGCCGTCTCTTGGACCGCCTGCTGTTGCCAGTCGTCAGGGTCGACGATGCGGTGTCCGATCGGCGCAGCCAGCCTCCACTGTCGCTCTTTCTGCTCATGCCACGCCGCAGAGCTGCTGCCCGCCGCTGGCTCCTCTTCTCCGCGAGGCTGTCTTGAAACCGGTGCTCCAGATCGGGGTACAGGTCTTTGAAGCCCAGCGTGACGAGAATGCCCGCTGCAAACGCCACCGTGAGAGCGGCCGCGCCGTAGGCCCTCGGGTGGTCTTGCAGAGACATTCTGTGCCGGACACTGCACCTATCGAGTAGCGCTGTTTGTTATTTTGTCTGCCGTGTGCTGTTTGTTGTTGTTCAGTGTAGAGTTGCCCTTTTTATGGCACTCGCTTTCGCCTTTCCATGACGACATATGGTCGCTACTTCCCCTCCCAAAAATAGTGACAGCCTGCTGTACTTCTGGCTTAGGCTAGCCTGAGTCGTGCCTGCCACAAGCTCGGCCAGGCCCGCCGAAACTGGCAGGAAGCTCGAGCCAACCAGCAGTTGCGCTTTCCAGAACCAGAATCCACAGCGGAAGACGACCAAAAAACGAAAGGGAGAAAATCGCCAATCCGCACCTGAATCCGCCTCTGATATTTCCCCTGTTACAAAAGCAAATGTAAACAGCAATTGGGCTCTCCACGTCTGTCTACCGACCGCCTATGGACTCTCCACTCGTCTCGCGCCTGTTCCGACAGCTGTTCCGCCATCCAGCGTGTCAGCCGCGGCGCAACTTTGCCCGTCTCGCATCGTCTCTCCAGGCGGCGAGATCTTCCCAAGCTTCACGACCGCCTTCACGGCCAAGACCTCACGCCCCAAAGCATGACCATTGCCAGATTCGGGGCTATGCAGCTGCACCACGCAGCGGCCGGATCAGCCGCTCCAACGAGAGTGACTGGCAGCAGCGCACGGACATGTACCCGGAAGACATGTCCGCCGAGTACGCAGAGTACCCGATGGTGACGGCACAAGAGCTGCGGCAACGTCGAGAACGTCCAAGGCGTGTCAAGATGCTGATGCGCGACTTTATTGAGGGTGCGCGCGTCCGGTTCATTTGAGACTTGGGAAGGCCATCCACCGACTAACGTTCGTCTAGACAGTCTTTACAACCCACACTACGGCTACTTCTCCAAACAAGTTGTCATTTTCTCGCCCGGCCAGGAGCCCTTCCCTTTCCGCGAAATGCGCGATGAGCCTGCCTTCCATGACATCCTGGGTCAGCGATACACAGACTTTGAGGACAGGCTGGACGCCGAGGCCGTAGCACAGGGTGGCGAGCCGTCCGATACGCGCCAGCTGTGGTACACGCCAACCGAGCTGTTCCGTCCGTACTACGGCGAGGCCGTTGCGCGCTATCTCGTCGCTAACTATATGCTGACGAGCTTCCCGTACCACGACCTGATTATCTACGAGATGGGTGCCGGCCGCGGCACGCTGATGCTCAACATCCTCGACTACCTGCGCGCCAATGAGCCGGCCATCTACGAGCGCACACGCTACAAGATCATTGAGATCTCGTCCAACCTGGCCGCGCTGCAGAAGCGGCAGCTGTATATTGGCAGCGGCGGTAGCGCCAGCAGCCAACAGAAAAGCAGCAGCGCCACCGCAGCCGCAGCCGCAGCCGATGGCTCCTCCGAGGCGGCGTCGGCGGCTGCCGCGCGGGGCCACGCCGGCCGCGTCGAGATCATCAACCAGTCCATCTTTGACTGGACTGCCCGCGAGCCGTCGCCGTGCTTCTTCCTGGCCTTTGAGGTGTTTGACAACTTTGCGCACGACTGCCTGCGCTACAACGTCACGACCGAGCAACCGCTGCAGGGCGTCGTGCTGCTCGCGGCCAATGGCGACATGTACGAGTTTTACGAACCGCAGCTCGACCCAGAGGTGGCGCGGTTCCTGCGCGTGCGCAACGCCGCCACCGAGGGCCGCTTCCCGCTGCCGTACTCGTCGAGCCGCCTGCTGCGCTCGCTGAAGCACAACTTCATGCCCTTTGCGCCCAATCTGAGTCCGCCCGAGTACGTGCCGACGAGGCTGCTGGCCTTTTTCGATGTGCTCGAAAAGTACTTCCCTGCACACCGCCTGGTGACGAGTGATTTCCACTCGCTACCGGACACGATTGCCGGGCTCAACGCACCCATTGTGCAGACGCGCTTCCAGCGGCGGCCCGTGCCCGTGTCGACGCCGCTTGTGCACCAGGGCTACTTTGACATCATGTTTCCCACCGACTTCCGCGTCGTCGAGGCCATATACCGCGCCATCACTGGCAAGCTGTCACGTGTCCAGTCGCACGAGCAGTTTATGCGTCACTGGGCACAGATCGAGAACACCACGACCCGCAGTGGCGAGAACCCTCTGCTCAGCTGGTACGCAAACGCCAGTGTGCTGTCGACGGTGTGAAGAACGCAAAACGAACATATATAATGCAGCCATGAAACTTTAATATATTCCATATATTTGGTACATGAGAAGTTAACTACATATTCTCTCCCAATTGCAACCTATGTCCCACGATCCAAAAAAAAAAAGTCAAAAACAATATGACAAAGATGAAGACAAATGAAAAGGCGATATGATAGACGAGGGCAGACCCTTATTCGCTAAGAAAATAGAAATGATTTTTATTTGATTTTCACTTCCACCACTCACAGCTTCAGTTCCTTGAGCTTCTCCGACAGCCACTCCTCCGCGCGCGAAACTGCGTTGGTGAGATTCTCGGGCTTCGTCCCTGAACCCTGGCGTGCAGGCTCCTTGCCGCCAGCCTTGCCGCCAATAACGTCGCTGACAGCAGTCGACCACTGCTCGGCAGTGACACCCTTGGATGCGAGGTCCTACTTCTTGTCAGTAAAGAAACACAGTCAACTAAATATGGGGGTGACAGGAGCCGCGTGGTGATAAGACATACCGTGCCAACATAGACACCATGAACGACACCGTCATCCGGGCTGCCGCCAAAGACGTACACGGACCGCTCCTTGTCCTTGTTGCGGAAGTGGTTCATGACCTCCGAAATGGCCTTGGCATTGGCCGAGATGGGCAGGTGGCCGACGTACCACTTGGCGTCCTTGTTCTCTGGCTTTGCAAAGTGGTCTGTGACCGTCGTGACGGCCGTCTTGAGCTCCACCTTCTGGCGCTTCTTCTGCTCGTCAACCACAGACTTCTGCACCTTGGCGAACCGCGTGCGCAGCTCGTCCTTGGTCAAGGCCGAGATTGCCAGCTGGTTCAGCTCCAGGGCGAACGTCTTGACGCCCGCCTCCTTCTCAGAGCCAAACGGCAGCGCCTCGAGTGCGTCCAGACGCTCTCCAATCTGCGCGGCCTCGCGCTGGGCCTGGTGTGCAGCGTCACCCGTGTAGGCCACGATGCGCCGGATGCCCTTAGCAATGCCACTCTCCTCAACAATGATTAAGTCCTTGATCTGGCCCGTCTGCTCGACGTGCGTGCCACCGCAGAACTCGACGCTGTACTTGCGCCACTCCGGGTTCTTGGGCGTCTTCAGCATCTCATCAATATCCTTGCCGACCGACACAACGCGCACAGGGTCGGGGTAGGTCTCGCCAAAGACGGCGCGCAGGCCCTCAATCTCGCGCGCGCTGGCCAGGTCCACATCCTTGTAGTAGACCTTGAGGTTGCTGCGGATGTCGTCGTTCGACATGTCCTCAATCTTCTTGATCTCGGCGAGCGACACGGCGGCTTTGTGCGAGAAATCGAAGCGCAACTTGTCCTGGTCGACGAGCGAGCCCTTCTGGTTGATCTCGTCGCCGAGGACTTCACGCAGCGCATGGTTCAGCACGTGCGTGCCCGTGTGGTTGTTACGGATGGGTTGCCGCCGCAGCTCGTCGAACTCGCAGATGACACTGTCACCCGCGCTCAGCGCGCCGTACTCGACGTAGCCGTTGTGCACAATGTAGCCACCAAATTCCTGCACATCCAACACCTTGAACTCAGCAACATCGTCAATGACAATACGGCCGGTATCGGCAACCTGGCCACCAGACTCAGCGTAGAAGTTGGTCTTGTCGAGCAGGATACCAATGGGCGTGTTGAGAGGGATGTCCTTGGTACTCTTGGCGAAACCCGTGCCCGTGTAGATGAGTTCAATCTTGCTGACAAGGTCGCCACGGAGGTACTTGGCATCGGAGTTGGGGCGCTCCAGGTTATGCTCGCTCTCGAGCTCGGCAATCTGGTGCACGTTGAGCTTGGCAAATGTCTGGACGGCCTCCTTGACCGACTTGCTAGCCTCGCGGGCCTTTTCCCGCGCCACGTCGACCTCCTCCTTGTTGATGGTGAGGCCGCGCTCTTCGGCCATCAGCTGTGTCAGATCCTCGGGGAAACCAAAGGTGTCATACAGGCGCCAGACGTCGGCGCCAGAGAGCGCACCGCCGCCGTTCTTAACCGCGACAGAGGCGTACTTCTCAAACTGGCGCTCGCCGCGGTCCAGCGTCCGCGAAAAGGCTTCTTCCTCCTCGTCCAGGATCTCCTTGATGTCCTCCTGCTTCTTGATTATCTCCGGGAACTGGTGGCCCATCTGCTCAACTAGCGCAGGCAGGATCTTGGAGAAGAAGGAGCCGATCTCGGCGTTGAAATACTTGCGGGCGTAGCGAGAGCCTCTCCGAAGCACACGGCGCACGACATAGCCACGGCCCTCATTGTTGGGCACGGCGCCGTCGGCCATGGAAAAGGTCAGTAGACGGATGTGGTCGGCGACGACACGGTACGCGGTATCAATGCCGTCAACGTCGTCCTTGCCGTACTTGTCAGTGTACGGCCGGGCACCCGTGACCTCCTGGATGCGGTCGAAAAGCGGGGTGAAGATATCCGTGGCGTAATTAGAGCTCTTATTCTGCAGAGCCGAGACGAGACGCTCGTAGCCCATGCCGGTGTCGACGTGCTTTGCCGGCAGCGGCTTCAGCGACTTGTCGGCCTGGCGATCAAATTGGATAAACACGTTGTTCCAGATCTCGACGACGAGCGGGTCGTCCATGTTGACGAGATCGGCGGCGTTACGGCCGCCAACCTTGTCGTAGTGGACTTCACTGCAAGGGCCGCACGGGCCCTGGTCGCCCATCTCCCAGAAGTTGTCCTTCATGTTGCCAGGCAGGATGTGGTCGTCAGGAACACCAACAGACTTCCAAAGATCTCTGGCCTCCAAATCGGGCTCGAGGCCCATGTCCGGGTTGCCCTCGAAGTAGGTGACATAGAGGCGGCTGGGGTCGAGGCCGAAGACCTTTGTGAGCAGGTCCCAGGACATCTCGATGGCGTCCTTCTTAAAGTAGTCGCCGAAAGACCAGTTTCCCAGCATCTCGAAGAAGGTGTGGTGGTAGCTGTCCTTGCCGACGTCATCGAGATCGTTGTGCTTGCCGCCTGCGCGGATGCACTGGTTGAGAATAGTTTAGTCATAGTTCGAGGGTGCGGCACGAAGCGACGAGAATAAGATATTCCACTCACCTTCTGGCTGTCCACAGCACGCTTCAGTCCCGCAAGAGGGTCCGTCTTGGCCACTGTGCCGAGGAAGATGGGCTTGAACTGGTTCATGCCGGCATTGGTGAAAAGAAGGGTTGGGTCATTGTGCGGCACGACAGACGATGAGGGGACTGTCAAGGAGTCAGGTCAGCAAATACGTCCAGAGAACGCATACCATGTGGTCCACAGCCACCACGCACCAATTGTGTGTCCGCGCTTCTCGAAATACTCCAGAAACGTCTGGCGGACCTTGGTGCCCGTCCACTTCTGCGTCTCGGCCATGGCTGCGGCGGGGGCGGACGAGAGAAAGCGTCTGGGGCGCGCGGCGGGGCGAGAGGCAGTCGAGAGGGTCGCAAACAGCGTTCCGAGACGGGGACGCAAAGAAAACGTGGTGGCGGTGGTCGGGAAGTGTTCGTGGGAGTGGTGGTCTGGGGTAGAGATTTGCAAAGAGGTGCCGTGGTAGAGCGCAAAGGTTTTGCTGTGGTTTTAACTCCTGCCGGTTTTGTAGTTTTCGTAGTCTTAAAAAAAAAAACGAAGAATCGCAAGTGCAACTTGTAGTGTGTGGTTGCTAGTCGCCGATAGGGAAGGAGTGCCACTTGTACCTTCTCGAGCTTCTCCACCAGCGTTCTGGCCATTGGAGAGGGAAGGAACATTCTCGATAGCAGGTCGCGGGGCAAAATGGCCTGAGGGGCAACTACCGTCGCAGAACCGTTGTGCAGGTGGATGAGTCAACGCCAATACCGAACTAGGGCGCACCTGCCGCACTGCCAGCCATGCCATGAGCCCTGGAAAGCAGTGCCTTGTTGCCCATACAAAAGGAAAGCGCGACCACCATGTCCATCGCTTGCCATCTGACAACCAATTCGACCAAACGAGTAACCGCGACCGTCGCATCTCAGGCCAAGAAGATAAGAAGCTGCAACACAACGAATGCAGCCTTCAATCCAAACATCTTCAAAACACCAGCACCTGTGACTCATCCACAGCAATCGCCCGCACGACCGTGCAGCGACCCGTTCCGACGCCTGCTTGAAACACCTACCTCATCCCTCAGCCACGCGACCTCCAGGTCCAGCCGCCTCGTCTCGTCTCCTCACCAACCCGGATGCAATCTAGGACATTTGCTTGCCTGCTATCCGATTGTGCGCCGAGAAACCAGGTCCAGTGGCGCCTATTGGCAGTACACGTTGTTCGAGATAAGGGCTCGGCCTGCAGGCGGTTCTAGAGCTCAGATAAACAAGCGGCTCAAGTGGCCCGATAGATAAATCAGAGCTGCGAGGCACCAAGGGAGCAAGCTGAGACAGTTACGGACGGGGACCTCAAAGGCCGCTAGAAGTCGGCAACATAGACGCAAATACGGCGGTGGGGAAGGGCGACAGGACGCGATTTGTGCAATGAGGAGGAGCGAGTGAAAAGGACGAGACCGGAGGAACAACGACGCACCCAATTGACTGGTCTGGCAGCTGCAAGCTGTCCCCGCGATACTGATACTCTCCAGCATTTCAGCAGCCCCTGCCAGCTTCCCTATCAAAGGAACGATGATGCTGCATCCAAACAGCAACGGCACCCGTCGCAATAATACCACCAATGGGTCGACTCCGGTCGGCGCCGGCTTAGCCCGGCACGGTAAACGGAAGGCTGTGGAAACACCAGAGAGTAACGAGCGACTGTCCAAGCGGCTGAGTCTTCTTAACTTGGGTGAGTAGTCTTGCAGTACTTTGTGGATCGAAGCCGCAACTGCTCGGAACCGATGCTGACGGAACCAGAAGCCTCGGGCCCGAAGCTATACGTTCCCGTTGAGAGCTCGCGGGAAGCACCTGCCGTTCAGCCACCGCCCGTGGTGGCCCTTCAAGATGCGCCCAATGTGCCGCCATCAATCCCAGAAGAGGTGGCCCTGACCGATGCCTCTATGTCTCCAGTACACAGTGCACCGCCGTCTCCTCCGTTACCGCTTTTATCTAGCGCCAGACGACGTTCACAACGATCTTCTGTCCGAAGCTTTAACGGCGTTGGCGCAGACGATGACATGCGGGTTGATGACACAAAGTACAAGGTCTACATCTATAATATTGACGACGAGTTGGCCGACGATGAGCGCTCGGCGTCGGATACGGATACGGCAGCCGGTGAGGACGATGTAGACGGTGACGGCAAACTCGTGCTCCTCCCCGATATTGACAAGCATCTTCGCTTGGCAGCACGGACGGCCGCGTTGTCGGGCAGCTCCACCAAGGGGAAGCTGGCCGTCCCACGTCCCATCCTGCCCAACAAAGATGGCGAACTAGCCGGCATGCAGCTGGTTTTGTATAACGATCCAAGCTCGCTGTCTGTGCCGCGGGAGAGCGACAGCGTACGCAAAGCCATCCTAGACGCACGCGCACGAATTCGCGAGCGGCAGCAGGAGGACAAGGCGGAGCAGGAGCTGCCACTGCAACCCGAGACGGACGCCTCCATGGCGAGCACACCTGCAGACACGCCGCGGCCGTTCGAAGCCGACGGTGACTCGGACGCCATGGACATTGACTAGAGAACAGCCACGACTGTTGTGTATTCTTCCACAATCTCGGAGCCCATATTCCTTTGCATCTTCCTACTTTTTTCCAGCGTCTGCAAGCGGTTTTTTTTGTTGTTATACCCGGCTTTATTATTCTTTTACTTTCTTTCTACACCTATCTTGCCAACGTCAAGAGACGACGACGGCTGCTTCACAAGCAGACATTCTACATGGGCCTGCTCACTTGCTCATAGATTCAATGTAAATATGACGTTTTATTTTTATAAGTCGTGATATATGCTACAAGTCAGCATAATATACCATACCGGTTATCTAGCGTTTAAGTTACCGCCTTCCCCCCCATCTATCTGTCCATCACGCCTCAATCTTGTAGTAGCCGCTCGAGCTATCAAGTTTTCCTTCGTATTGACCATGTCGTCTGTTTGTTGGCGACGGCCTTTGTTAGCGGCCGATCGTGCATCTTCAATCATTGTGTCGCTGGCGTCCAGATCAACACAGACTTGGTCCATAAGATTGTCTATTGTAAACTTAAAAGGATCTATGCGCCTTTGAAAACCATAATTAACGACACCACACCCTGGGTATTGATATTGTCCTTTCCGTTCGCCTATCCGATAAGAAAAATAAAGAGAAAGCAAGAAGATATTAAAGTTGTTTTCGAAACAAGACCAAAAAGAAAAAAAGGAAAGGAAAAGTGAACAAATACCAAATAACAAGGAACGTAAATAAAACATCACCAACGTTATCATAATGTTCTATCCAGGACACCTGTAAAAGTTGGAATCAAAACGACAAAAAGGAGACAAAAGAAAACAAAGGAATGAGAACAGAAGAATACAAAAAATAACAAAATGATCATGTGCATAGAAACCACTACGCAATTTCGACCTCTGAAGCGACAAGACCAAAAACCCAGCTGGCCACGGCGGCGCTGGAGAACTGGAAGCACCACTTGCGGACACGCCCACTGACGGCGCCCGTAGATGGTACAGAGCCCACGCGGTTCTGTTCGTCGCGGATCTCCTCCCACACATTGAGGACGATGCCTCTTGCAGCCAGTCTCGAGAAACACGCGCTGCCGACGACAACGTCGACCACCACTAGCGGCTTTTCGTTTGCCTTTTTGGGAATCGACACGACCAATACACGCTTCTCGAGGCCGTGGTAAATGGTCAACTCTTGACGCACGCCGGGAGGCGGTCTTGCAATTGTCAAGAAACAGTTTCCGCGGTCTTCCCATTTGTTTGCAGATGTTTGCAAGTGGCAGCGCATCTTGATGTTTGATGACCCAAGCGCTTGGATACCACGGCTGCTGCTCTCTGCAAGGCTGACAGACGGCGACCGAGGGGCCGTGAACGAGAAGCCTCCACCGCCAGCGGAAGAGGATCCCGATGAGGTGTAGAAGCTGGCTCCGCCACTGCCAGCCCGGCTTTGCCGGTCTACTGAAGAGCCGTTGATATTGAAGGCCGTGTTGCCACCGCCTGTCAGTCTCCGCAAGAAGCTGGTCGCCGAGACACTGGACGAGCTACCCTGAGACTGCGACGGTGCTCGTGTCGATGCGCGGTAGCTGTTCTTGCGGCCAAACCAACTCCGGCGACGGTGGCTGCTTGTATCGTCGCCTGCGTCGCCCGTCGGCTGGGGCTGGCCGAAGGAGCGGAAACGCGCTTCCTCTTCGAGGGCCTTGAATTTGGCGTTGTTCATCCGCGATTCATGCACTGCTGCATAAAGGTTGCCAAGTTCGGCAGGCGACTGTGTTCGGAATCGGAAAATGTTTGCGTCCAGGTGGCAGTACTTTGCAAATGACCGAACGGGGGACCGAATCTCTAGATCTACGACTGTGCTTTGTCTGATCATGACGAGGGGAGTGAGATCCAGGGCGATGAGCGGCCGTGGCGCTCCAGCCTCCAGCTCTAGTGTGGCTTGACTGCCGAACCCGGGGCTATGCTTGGTGCTTGTCATATGTGTCCCGGGTACGTAGGCTTCGATCAGGCCGGGCGAAATAACAATGGCGCTGAAAGGCTCGCCGAGATCCTTCCACTGGCCCTTTCTGTTGGACCAGTAGGAAATAGAGGCCATAAGTTGCAGATTGGACTCGGATGGGTACGATGCTTGGAGTCCAGGAAGGCCAGCTTGCGAGGCAGAATTGGAGGGTGTGATACTACTCTCCGAAACAACCGACTCTGCGGCGCTGAGGTCCGGTTGCTTAATGCTGATGCCAGGAAGTGTGTCGGGCACATCGTCCTCCTCAAGCTCGTCCGATGACGAGTCAGACTCAGAGCCAGAGCTGTCAGATGTCGAATCGCTCCCTGACGAAATGTCAGACGGGTGGTATTCGTGCTTTAGGGGCGATGATGTGCGACGGCGGACTCGTGCTGCCGGGGGATTGAGGTCGACTGGAGGTTCGATGATCGGGGTCGCTTTTGTAACCGGCTCACGGTGAGCAGGCGGGGGAGGGGCGCCATCATCACGGATAGACGGCGCACTTGCCGAAGTCTTTAGCTGTGATGGATCCGGGCGCATGTCCTCACGCAGCGGGTGGCTCGATGAGCCGCTGCGAGCAGGATGCCCCGGGGCAGACGGTCTTCGTTTGTGGTACCGAGTAGGCGTCGTCGGAGATCTTAGGCTGTCAACTTGCGCCTCATCCTCGAGGACACCCTTGAACTTGCGTTCGCCGACAGGTACATCTGCTTCCTCGGTGTTTCGGGGAGTCAGGGACATGCGGTTTGATGCTGGCGGTGGTATGGGGCTCGTTCCTAGTATGTCCAGC